CAGCGATGCAGTATCTTCCGTCTATCATGCAGCCGCTCTCCAGTGGAATCAGCGATGCAGTATCTTCCGTCTATCATGCAGCCGCTCTCCAGTGGAATCAGCGATGCAGTATCTTTCGTCTACATGCAGCCGCTCTCCATTGGAATCCTTCACGCACATGCAGTGCTCAACGTCCTTCGCTGCTTGGGCCCGTGCTTTCGCCAGTCTGTAGATGTTTTTCTCGCCTTCCTTGGTACCTAGCTGATCGTATAGGCCCCGGAAATGTTCCGCTTTGGCTACGGCCACGGACCTCTTTGCCTCTCTTCTAGCGGTGGTATACTTCCTCCAGTTCTCGGCAGTTTTATGCGTGAGCCAGGTTTTGTAGGCAGCCTTCTTTTCCATCACTTTCTGCTTCACTTCTTCCGTCCACAGCCACGTTTGTTTGTCCATAAGTCCTCGACCGGCCTACCATCGGCTGGAGGTAAGCTGCACGCGCGGGCAATTGTCGCTTCCTGTCCCCGCAGTTTCCACCACTTGATTCGCTCTGGTCCCATAGACCGGCCGGTGTCGCTTCTACGCCTGATTACCTTCGTATCCACAACGAGCATCTTGTGTTGTGGTGCCACACAGTCTGAGGGATGACCTTCGCATCACTGACGGAACAAAGATCTCTCCTGCGGACCAACACGAAGTCTATTTGACTTTTCTGCCCACCGCTTGCATATGTAACTAGGTGACTTTCACGCTTCTTGAAGAATGTGTTACTGATAGCAAGATCATTCGCCTCAGCGAAGATGAGTCTATCCGAATGACGTCTTATTTCTGCGACATGGCTGCGCAGCTCGGCACTTACGACAATGGCCACGCCTTTACTGTTGGTCTCGCCATAGTAGCTCAGCTTGTAGCCTTCGCCAATGTCGCGGGACTTTTGTCCCTTCCACCGCGTCTCCTGAATGCAAGCGATGTCCACTCTGCGCCTTTTCAACATTTCGGCTAGTTCGCTGCTGCGTCCTGTAAGTGTGCCAATGTTCAACGTGGCAATGCGCAGCGGTCTCACATGGGCTATCTTCTTTAGCCAGTTCCGCCC